CTTTTCTTTTCTTTTTCTTTTTCTTTCTTTCCTTTCTTTCTCTTTTCTTTTCTTTCTTTCTTTCCTTTCCTTTCTTTCTTTCCTTCTTCCTTTTCTTTCCTTTCTTTCTTTCCTTTCCTTTTCTTTCTCTTTTTCTTTTTTTCTTTCTTTCTTTCTTTCCTTCCTTCCTTCCTCTTTCCCTTTCTTTCTCTTTCTTCTTTCTTTCTTTCCTTCCTTCCTCTCTTTCCCTTTTTCTTTCTTTCCTTTTCTTTCTTTCTTTTTCTTTCTTTTCTTTCTTTCTTTCCTTTTCTTTTTTTCTTTTTCTTTTTTTCTTTCTTTCTTTCCTTCCTTCCTTCCTTCCTCTTTCCCTTTCTTTCTCTTTCTTCTTTGTCTTTCTTTCCTTCCTTCTTCTTTCTTTCTTTCCTTTCTTTCCTTCCTTCCTCTCTTTTTCTTTCTTCCTTTTTTCTTTCCTTCCTTCCTCTTTCCCTTTCTTTCTTTCTTCTCTTTGTCTTTCTTTCCTTCCTTCTTCTTTCTCTAGTTCCTTCCTTTTTCTTTCTTCTTTCTTTCTTTCATCCTTCCTTCCTTCCTTTCGTTCTTTTCCTTCCTTCCTTCCTTCCTTCCTCCCTCCCTCCCTCTTTCTTTCCTTCCTTCCTCTCTTTTTCTTTCTTTCTTTCCTTTTTCTTTTTCTTTCTTTCTTTCTTCCTTCTTTCTTTCTTTCCTTCCTTCTTCTTTCTTTCCTTCCTTTTTCTTTCCTTCTTTCCTCTTCCTTTCCTTCCTTCCTCTTTCCCTTTTTCTTTCTTTCTTTTTTCTTTCTTTCCTTCCTTCCTTCCTCTTTCCCTTTCTTTCTTTCTTTCTTTCTTCTCTTTTTCTTTCCTTCCTTCTTCTTTCTCTTTCTTTCCTTCCTTTTTCTTTCCTTCGTTCCTCTTTTTTTCTTTCTTTCTTTCATCCTTCCTTCCTTCCTTCCTCCTTCTTTCTCTTTCTTCTTTCTTTCTTCTTTTCTTCCTTTTCTTTCTTTCCTTCCTTCCTCTTTCGTTCTTTTCCTTCCTTCCTTCCTTCCTCCCTCCCTCCTTCTCTCTTTCCTTCCTTCCTTCCTTCCCTCCTTCCTTCCTTCCTTCTTTCAGTTTATTTATTTTTGAGAGAAAGAGTGTGTGCATGCTGGGAAGGGGCAGAGAGAGACAGGGAGAAAGAGAATCCCAAGCAGGCTCCACGCTACCAGTGCAGAGCCCGATGCGGGGCTCAAACTCACAAACCGTGAGATTGTGACCTGAGCCGAAGTTGGATGCTGAACCGACTGAGCCACCCAGACTCCCCTCTTTAATTTTTTAATGTTTGTTTATTTTTGAGAGGGCGGGGACAGAGAGAGAGGGAGACAGAAGTCGAAGCAGACTCCTCACTGATGGCAGAGAGCCCGATGCAGGGCTTAAACCCACGAACTGTGAGATCATGACCTGAGCCAAAGGTGGGCACTTCACCAACTGAGCCACCCAGATGCCCCAGCGGTTTGCTTTTCTAGTTCACCCAAAGAGTATTTCTTTTTGTTTTTTTTTTTTAATTTTTTTTAACGTTTATTTATTTTTGAGACAGAGAGAGAGCATGAACGGGGGAGGGACAGAGAGAGAGGGAGACACAGAATCGGAAGCAGGTTTCAGGCTCTGAGCCATCAGCCCAGAGCCCAACGCGGGGCTCGAACTCACAGACCGCGAGATCGTGACCTGAGCTGAAGTCGGACACTTAACTGACTGAGCCACCCAGGCGCCCCTCTTTTTCTTTTTTTTTAATGTTTGTTTATTTTTGAGAGAGAGAGACAGAGCATGAACAGGAGAGGGGCAGAGAGAGGGAGACACAGAATCCAAAGCAGGCTCCAGGCTCTGAGCTGTCAGCACAGAGCCCGACACGGGGCTCAAACCCACGAACCGTGGGATTGTGACCTGAGCCGAAGACGGACGCTCAACCAGCTAAGCCACCCAAGTGCCCCTCAATAGTCTCATTTTAACTCAGTCACCTCTTTAAAGGCCCTGTCTCTAAACACAGTCACATTGTGGAGGGGAGGCTGTCCATAGATGAGTTTTAGGGGGACACAACCCAACCCATCACGCTGGCTCCAGCGGCCCCCCTTGGACATACACCCTTTCCTGTTTCCCCCATTTGCCCTTGACTGCTGGATTTTGCTGGTGTCGAACAACTGACTAGTCATCTGGAGAAAAGCGAGGCAGGTTTCCCCCCTCCTTTTATCACAGATGGCTGCATTTAAATATGTTTCAATGAAAACATAAAAAGTACTAAAAGAAAACTTGGGTGAATGCTTTTGTGATCTTACAAAGAGGAGGGCATTATCAAACCTTCTTTTAAAAAAAAGCAGCTCAGGGGCGCCTGGGTGGCGCAGTCGGTTAAGCGTCCGACTTCAGCCAGGTCACGATCTCGCGGTCCGGGAGTTCGAGCCCCGCGTCAGGCTCTGGGCGGATGGCTCAGAGCCTGGAGCCTGTTTCCGATTCTGTGTCTCCCTCTCTCTCTGCCGCTCCCCCGTTCATGTCTGTCTCTCTCTGTCCCAAAAATAAGTAAAAACGTTGAAAAAAAAAAGTTTAAAAAAAAAAAAAAAGCAGCTCAGAATCTATAAAGAGTGACACATTTGGTGACTGGAAAAAATTTAAAACCAGATCTGCAAAGCACACAAACCTCGTGAACGAAGTCAGAGAGCAGCTAGGAGAACCTTCTCTGCAGCACAGACACTGGAAAGTGGGCGGATCTCACTAACACACGAAAAGTTCTTACATGTGGAGGACAAGAGAAGGACAGAAGATGGGGACAGACGGACACAAAAGAAATTCACACAGTTATTCAAAGGGCCGATAAAAATAGAACAGGATTGTCAGTGTCCCTCCCGACTAAATGAAGGTATGTGAGATATCATTTTCCACCTAATGGCAAAGAGTTTTAAAAGTGACAATATCAAGGGGTGGCTCAGTGGGTTGAGAGTCTCTTGATTTCGACTCAGGTCATGATCCTGGGGTTGTGGGATCAAACCCTGCATCAGGCTCTGCACTGAGCCTGCTTAAGATTCTCTTTCTCCCTCTGCTCCCCCCCCCCCACTTGTGCACACTCACTCTCTCTCAAACGAAAATAATTTAAAAATTAATTAGGAGCGCCTGGGTGGCTCAGTCGGTTGAGCATCCGACTTGGGCTCAGGTCATGATCTCACGGTCCGTGAGTTCGAGCCCCGCGTCGGGCTCTGTGCTGACGGCTCAGAGCCTGGAGCCTGCTTCGGATTCTGGGTCTCCCTCTCTCTCTGCCCCTCCCCAGCTAGTACTCTGTCTCTCTCTCTCTCTCTCTCTCTCTCTCTCTCAAACATAAGTAAACCACTAAAAATTTAGTAAAATAAATAAAAAATTAAAAGTGACAGTATGCAGCAGTGAGGGAACAAGAAAACAGACATTCTGGACCCTTACCTTCCAGAACAACAGCTGCTAAAATTTAAAATGTTCCCATTTTTTTTTTACCCAGAATTCTGTGTCTAGGCATTCAACCAGTGGAAAGACTCCAAAGTACACAGATTTCATGGGATGTTTGTTTATTACAGGATTGACCGCAGTCGTACAAATGATAAGCAGCCCAGATATCCATCCCAAACAGCAAAATAATATCTACTATATACTATTTATTATATATGTAACAGTATACATACAGCTACAAAAAATAAGGCAAGTCCATATATACTAACAAGATAGCGTGTGCAGGATTTATTACAAGACGAAAAGCAAGTATGACAGGACTCCCTTGGTGATAGATGGAAAGAAGGGAGGGAGCGAGGAGTGAAGACAGGACAGACAAAACTGATGCGTGGGGGGATAATGGATGGATGGTTATATGCATCAAGGACATCTGCAGGAATCATAAAGTAACAGTTAACAGTGCCCCCCCCCCCCCCCGCCGAGGGAAGAATTGTGAGAGGGTTTTGTTTGTAATGAATATCTGTAACGCTTAGATTTTTATGGGAAACAGATTGCTCAAAAAGGACAACAAAAAGAGACGTTCGCTTGTGGAAACCATCAGACCACATCCCTTGCAACCCTCTCCTCCCACGGAGGGGCCCGCGGGCTTCTCCGTGTCTGTGCACCTCCTCCCTTCCCTAGCAATCCTGCTCGTCCTCAGGCCTGGCTTCCAGATCCTGCTCGGACGGATCAGGACACGGGAGAAATCTTTTTCTCCGTGTCCGGTGTATTTTGGGGACAGCACCTGCAGCCTATCTTTTCATCTCTTTGTGCGTGATGTCCGATATAGGGCTGTTTCTCCAAGTTCAGCCCCGGCGATAGAAATAGGATATAATTTTAGCCATTTGTCTTCTACCCCTGGCAACAGCTCTCAGGTACCGGTAAAATTCCGTTCTGGTTTTTGCTGTGACAGCACCAGAGACCCCTTTGTGACAGGGAGATAAGGTTTTACTTTCCCTTTTCAGACATCAGCTCTTTTCCTAGAGAATGTATTGTGTGCTAACAATACAAGGCAGAGTGAATATTAATAACCCTTTCTGTAGGTCTGTATAGCTTTCAGATGCTGCCACATGCATCAGTTCACTCAATTTGATGTCTGCATCAGCCCCTGGGAGTTGGGCGGGGCCGGGGGGGGGCGGTGGAGAAAGACACTCTTGGAAATTTTTATGGATAAAAAGACGGAGACCTAGATGGCTTGCTTGCACTCGCGTGGGTAATGCGTAGTGGAACGGTATTAACTCAGCCGAGGCTCTTTGGTTGTAAGCAACAGAGACTAATTTTGCTGAAATGGGCAAGAAATAGCCCACTCTGTCAAAAGGAACTGACCGAAGGAAGGACAGATATCCCAGTGGCTCTGGGGTCCTTACAGGGCACTTCTGTAAGTGGTTCCAGCCACTTTCTGCCCCTGAATCTTGGGCCAGAGATTCAAATTTTTGTGCTCCTGGGAGTGATAATCTGGTTGGCCTACGTAGATCATGGGAGGATCGGGCTCTGTGACTGTGCCCCAAAACAGTGGAGAGGAGGGGATTTCCCAGGTGGAGACGGGGACCTGTTACAGAAGAGGGGGGACAGTGGGCAGAACAGTGTGCCAGGAGCCCGGCTCTCTGGCCCCCTCCCTCCCTCTCCGCTGGCTACATGTTCTACTATGACTGTACTTGTTCCGTTTTTCTTTCTCTGCTGACAGACCTCCTGGGCTTATTCATTTACTTCAAAATGGCGGACTCAGCCTCCAAGCGCTTGCCCCCAAACAACCCAGGATCTGAGTGCTTCATTTCCAACTTTCCGGGAGAGACACCCTGGTGGTTCTGGCTCCCGTGGTCTAATTAGCTGATGGCTTGTGTGGCCAAAGGAAGCATGGGGCTGGGGAGGAGGTTCACGTGTTGGATGGGGATGCTTCTTCCAGGACCCAAGGACAGAAAGTGCAGGGCGGCCTCATGGAGACTCTGAAGGGAGTAGACACTGCGAGAGTATGGCGGGGGATCGCTGACGGGCGTCCTGACCGCCGTATCGCAGGGGAATGGAGTCCTGGAGAGTTAGAGCCCCTTCTTCACCCAGTGTTTCCTGTTGCGGGCCAGGTCAAGGTCCTCCTGGAAGAAATACTGGAGCGAGTGACAGATGAGTTCAACATGCCGGAGCTGATGGCCAGAGTGGAGGAGCACAGCCCCTACATCGTCGTTGCCTTCCAGGAGTGTGAGCGGATGAACATCCTCACCAGAGAGATCCAGCGCTCGCTGAGGGAGCTGGACCTCGGCTTAAAGGTACGGTGGGTGAGGTCTTGGTGGGAAGGGGCACCGCCAGAGGACACGGCCGGACCCCCCTGGGGAGAGGGGGCTCCCGCGGACTGGGGCGCTGGAGAGCCGTCCTAGAGCGATCTGAGTGCCCGGGGAGGTGTGGCTTCCAGACGCCAGGGTCTGGCTGGGCTGCAGGGAGGTCAAGACACAAGGGTCCGAAAGCATGCAGCTGCGAGGGTGGAATGAGCCCAGCTGGCTCGGAGCCCCCCCCCCAGGAGACCACACTCCAAGGAGCAAGGAGAGGGTCTCCCCAGCCCGGTGTCTTCTACTGATGTAGGATAAGTTGCTTCCATGGGGGTCAAAGTAGCGCTGAATAAAAGTACAGGTTCTAGGGGCACCTGGGCGGCTGTCGGCTGAGTGTCCGACTCTTGACTTCAGCTCAGTGTGTGAGTTCGAGCCCCGCGTCAGGCCCTGTGCTGACAGTGAGCAGCCTGCTTGGGATTCTCTCTCTCTCTCAACATAAATCAACGTTTAAAAAAAAAAAAACAAAAAAAAAAGCAGGTTCTAGAACTAGACGGTCCTGGGGTCGCCTCCCAGCCCCTGTGATTCTTTGCCGTGTGGCCCTAGCGAAGTGACTTACATCTCACTGTATCTCAGCTTCTTTGCCCGTAGAACAGGCGTAATGGTCCTGCTTCATAAGGCTTTGGGGAAGGACTAAGTAAGTTGATCCACATAGAATGTTTAGAACCATCCCTGGCGTGTAGTAAGTACCCTCAGAGTATTAGCTGATGACTATTATGGCCCCGTCGGGGGAAAGGGGAGAATTTTCGCCTTTGACAACCTCGAGGTTGGACTGAGAGGTCCAAGGTAATCGCACAGGCTCTTCCTCCCTCTTGAGCAACGGAAGAGTCTGCTGTTTCTGCCCCCAGTGACTCGAACAAGTTTAGGCACCAGCAGAGAACTGTTCAGGGGCCTGGCGTGGACCCCGACGGACCGTGCACCTCGATGACAGCTGAATGGGAGGGCAGGCTGCCGTTCAGGAGCTGAGGAAGGGGACTGCGGTCCGTTTACACTGGCACTTTCAGACGGAAGAGGAGCTGGCAGCGAATGCTCGGCCGGGCCCGGAGGTCCGCGGTGTGACCCGCGGCCTGGGGCGCGGCTCTTGGGGTCACACAGCCACGGTTACAACAGCCGTGCATCTTGTCACAAGTAGTCACATAGAAACTATGAGACAGCCTGCACAATCTACGTTAGTGGGTTTTGTTTTATCTGTTCATTTCCTTCTCCCCACCCCTGCCTGCCGGTTTAGATGGAGGGAAACCAGGAGAAAGGACAGAAAGGCGTGTCGAAGACCGTATTTGGTCATGTTTCCAAATTACGTGCCAGCTTGTGATCAAATGAAACACAGAGTTTCATAGGACGGTCTCGAATGTGAGCAAGGCCTTTGCCTGTCACATTACGCAGGTCCGTGACTGTGGTACACAGGTCCCTCTTGGTAATTACCTCCAGGAGCTTTGCTGTAGCCTTAGCTGATCAAATCCGTGCAATTTGTGCAGTGCACTTACCCATCCATCTTCCAATCCATTCAGTCGTGTTTCTTCCGAGAGCCGTGACTGGGGTTGGGTGAATCCCCGAGTGTGCCTGCGGGCAGAGGAAGGGGTGGGTGAGGACGTTTCTGCTTGCCTTCCCCAGTCTGGTTCAAGCACAGCTGACCGATGAGTGCCCTGGACAGGTCTCAGCACTCCATGCCGGTGGGTGCAGGGAGACCGAAAGGGGGGCCTTCCTCTCCAGAAGGAGCACACAGGCAGATCCCAACACAGGATGCACAGAGAGCCGTGGGAAGAGGGAAGGCCCCAGAGGAGAAGTGGCTGGAGGGGGCAGGGGAGAAACCGGTGGGGACAAGGAGAAGAATCTTCCACCGCTTCCAAAAGAGGAACCCTAGCCCTGCTCTAGGAGCTACCTGCTTTGGCCGGAGCAGACGGTCCACGCAGGCGAGTAAGTGGGGTATGGTGAGTTTCGGAAGGCGGTGACAGAACACTGACCCACAAGCAGTCAGGACAGCTGTGCATTTGTGGCCTTTTCCTCCTGGTCCCTCTGTGAGCTGGAGAACACTTTTTTTTATTTTTTTAAGTTTATTTATTTTGAGAGAGAAAACGGGAGAAGGGCAGAGAGAAAGAGGGAGAGAGAGAATCCCAAGCAGGCTCCACACTGTCAGTGCAGAGCCCTGAGCGGGGCTCGAACCCACGAACCATGAGATCACGACCTGAGCGGAAGTCAAGAGTCAGACACTCAACCGACTGAGCCCCCCAGGCGCCCGAGAGCAGACCCTCTAAAACGCTGTCCTCTAAACCCAGTCTCATTAGGACAGGCCCCCAGACTGGCCTGGTCGCCTGTATCTTCAAGCAGCAGCCAGGTGATCCTTGGGATGAGCCGTCTGTGAAGCACAGTGTTAAGACAAGTAGGTAGAAGAAGAAGGTGGTGAGATCAGGGGGCGAGGGGATGGCGACAGAGTTCAGAAAGGGGAGCGACCTGATGGCCCAGGGGAGGGGCTGGCCGGGGAGGGCCCCGCCACACAGTGCGCATCTGCTCAGCTCCGGGCTTCCCCCCAGGACGCTGCTGGGACAGAAGACGGGCTCTGTGGACCGGCTCACCTGGCAGGAGATTCTGAGGCTCCCCTTGTTGCCGTCCCCTTCTCTGGGACACAGTCGCTTTAAAGTCCTGGCAGTGGTTCAGGAGGACAGAGGGCCACTCACGCTACCCAGCACACCCGACAGGCTCAGACTCGGCCCCAAAGTTAGGAGGGGGGTAACGTTTTAAATCATTAAGTCAATACTCATAGCATTTACGGTAGAGAAACTTGTAACCATTCACGACTGGCTGGATGGGAAGCCGGAAGGCTACCCAAAAAGTATCAGCTGAACTGAGAGGCACAGTACGCTAAGCCCAAGGAGCGGAGGGGCTCAAAGCGCAGAAGAGGTGGAGGAAGGTAGGGGAGCCGCCTAAGGGACGTCATTTTGCCACAGCCACGTCCCCAGAGAGAGGAACTGTCTTGGGGATTCACCACAGTCAGACATCTGGCTCCTTGGGGCGCCTGGGAGGCTCACAGTTTGTGAGCTCGAGCCCAGCATCAGGCTCCACGCTGCCTGGGATTCTCTCTTTCCCTCTGTCCCTGCTCCTCTCTCTCAAAACAAATGAACTTGGGGGGAGAAAAAAGACCTCTGGCTTGTAGCCATAACACAACAAAGAATTAGGTCCTGCGAGTACTCCAAGCTGATTGGCCAAAGGTACCGGCTCCCACTAACCAAACGCACAAAAGTCTGATGTACAAAACTCCCAAAGTCCAGTTTCTTTCTTTACAGTAACAGCTAGGTATAGCTTTCAAAGAGCCATGTACGGATGGCAGTGGGCCCAGGAAAATCCTCTGCCTGGGTAGAAAAATTACATGAGAAGCTAAATTCCTAGATCTGTACTGTCTACAGTAGCAACCAATGACAGGGTAGCACTTAAAATGTGACTGGTCCAAATTGAGATGTTCTGTTAAGCAGAAATGAAACACCGTATTTAGGAAAGAGGCTGGGAAGCTTGCCTCACCCACAGATACAACTAGGTGACACATCTGTGTAAATAACCCAGAAAATGGCCCGAAGACTGGCAGAAGAACCTCTACAACTGAAAGTAAAGAGGCCGCATCAAAGAGGGTGGGAAGGGGGAGAAACAGACCGTCACACTGGGGAGCACTCACAGCGGGGACAAACCCCCGCAACATCTGGCTTTGAAAACCGGAGGGGCCAAATTACATGAGTTCTTACAACCGGCGGAACTCAAAAACCTAGAATTTTAAAAATCAGCAGGCTCGGCTCTGGGAGAACCAGAGGCCAAAAGGAAACCGAGTCCCTTAAAGAAACAGGACAAAAGACAGCCTGTGCAGATACAACATCAAAGCAGGATTTTGAAAAATGCCTGGGAGGGAGAGTTATTTACTAATCTCCGAGCACGTCTGGAGGGGCAGAGATCCTAGGGAGACTCCCCCAGGAACAAAGGAGCTGCCTCCCCCGCCTTCCAGCATAAACCCAAGGCCACCTGTAGGAGCCAGTGTAGGGACATTTACTACCGAAGGAACTTGTTTCCGCGGTATGCCACAGCCTCAGTCCTGCGCTGAGTCCCCTTCCCCAGGACACCAGCGCAAACCTTCCTAAGACCACATCTCCCCCAGCTCGCGCACTTTGAGGATCCTCCCCCTCCAACCCGGCTGGCCTTAGTCCCGGGGGCGGGGGCAAGTTCCCTGTCGCGGAGGACCGACGCACAGGAGTAGGGAACAGAGGAAGCACAAAGGCAGTAAAATTAGCGATACCTATAAAAATCGTTCAAGGGATTCACAAGATCAAAGGATGGAAAGCATGACCCCACGTGCCTAAAACATGGGGGAGAAAGGGGTAAATATTTAGTGCTTTAGAAGGCGTTCAAACGGAAGCAGCCATCAACTTCCCACAGACGGTTATATGCAAAAGGTGTTACACACAAACCTAATGGTAACCGCAAGTCAGAACCCAGCAGATGTGCAAAAAATAAAGGGGAAGGAATCCAAATCTGTCTCTAAAGAAAGCCCATTTATAGTGAGAGAACAAGAAAGGAAGAGAGAAGAACTACAAATACAGCCATAAAGTAACAAAATGGCAATAAATATGTACATACCTGTCAATAATTCTTTGCATGTAAATGGACTAAAGCTTCCAATCAAAAGACATAGGGTGACGGAACGGATAAGAAAACAAGACCCATCTGTATGCTTCCTCCAGGAGACTCATTTCAGATCTGAACATGTGTGCAGATTCAAAGTGACGGGATGGAGAAGCATTTATCCTGCAAATGGATGTGAAAAGAAAGCCGGGGTAGCAATACTTACATTGGACAAAATAGACTTGGAAACAGGCCGTAACAAGAGACAAAGAAGGACGTTAGATATTCAGGGGACGATTCAACAAGAAGATGTAACAATCGTAAATCTTTCTGTGCACCCAACATGAGGGCACCCCAATACATAAAACAATAACGCATTTAAAAAAGTAACCGAGGGGCGCCTGGGTGGCGCAGTCGGTTAGGCATCCGACTTCAGCCAGGTCACGATCTCGCGGTCCGGGAGTTCGAGCCCCGCGTCAGGCTCTGGGCTGATGGCTCGGAGCCTGGAGCCTGTTTCCGATTCTGTGTCTCCCTCTCTCTCTGCCCCTCCCCCGTTCATGCTCTGTCTCTCTCTGTCCCCAAAATAAATAAACGTTGAAAAAAAAATTAAAAAAAAAAAAAAAAAGTAACCGATAGTCATACAATAGTAGGGGCCTTTAACAACCCACTTACATCAATGGAAAGATCATCCAAACAGAAAGTCAACAAGGAAATAGTGGCTTTGAAGGGGACACACACACACAAACACAAAGGGAAGGGGGGTACCTGGGTGGCTCAGTCGGTTAAGCGTCCGACTTCGGCTCAGGTCATGATCTCAAAGTTTGGGGGTTCGAGCCCCACATCAGGCTCTGTGCTGACAGCTTGGAGCCTGGAGCCTGCTTCGGATTCTGTGGCTGCTCTCTCCCTGCTCCTCTCCCACTCACACTCTCTCTTCAAATATAAATAAATTTTATTATATCAAATATTAAAAAAATTGGGGGGAGGGGAGAAGGAAGACATATGGACCAGATGGATTTAACAGATACATTCAGAACATTCCATCCTAAAGTAGCAGAATTCACATTTTTTTCAAGTGCACATGGATTACACAGTAGACCACACAAGTCTCAACAAATGCAAAAGGATCGAAGTCATACCGTGCATCTTTTCTAACCACGGTGCTATGAAACTAGAAATCAGCTATAAGAAAAGATGTGGAAAGAGCACAAATACATGGAGGTTAAAGGACATGCTACTAAACAATGAATGGGTCAACCAATAAATCAATGAGGAAAGAAAAAAATACATGGAGACAAATGCAAATGAAAACACAATGGTCCAAAATCTTTGGGACGCAGCAAAAGTGGTTCTAAGAGGGAAGTTTAAAGCAATACAGGCCTATCTGGGGGCGCCTGGGTGGCGCAGTCAGTTAAGCGTCCGACTTCAGCCAGGTCACAATCTCGCGGTCCGGGAGTTCGAGCCCCGCGTCGGGCTCTGGGCTGATGGCTCGGAGCCTGGAGCCTGCTTCCGATTCTGTGTCTCCCTCTCTCTCTGCCCCTCCCCCGTTCATGCTCTGTCTCTCTCTGTCCCAAAAATAAATAAACGTTGAAAAAAAAAATTTAAAAAAAATAAAAGAAAGCAATACAGGCCTATCTGAAGCAGCAAGAACAATCTCAACCTAACCTTCCACCTAAAGGAGCTAGAAAAAGAAGAACAAACTATAGAAGGAAGGAAATAATAAAGATTAGAGCAGAAATAAACAAAATAGAAACTTTAAAAAAATAACAATAGAACGGTTCAGTGAAACCAGGAGCTGGTTCTTTGAAAAGATCAACAAAATTGATAACATTTTAGCCAGACTCATTTAAAAAAGAGAGAGAAAGAGCTAGAGGACGAAAACGAGATCATAAAGAGGAGAGGGCCTCCTGGGTGGCTCAGTCAGTTAAGCATCTGACTCTTGATCTCAGCTCAGGTCTTGACCTCAGGGTTGTGAGTTCAAGCCCTACGTTGGGCTCCATGGTGGGTGTGTAGCCTACTTCGAAAATGCAAAAGGAGAAATAAAAACTGACAGCTCAGAAATAAAAAGGATTATTAGAGAGTATTATGAAAAACTATATGCCAACAAATTGAACAACCTAGAAGTAATGGATAAATTCCTAAGAGCATATAACCTCCCAACACTGAATCAGGAAGAAATAGAAAATTTAAACAGACCGATTATTGGGGCGCCTGGGTGGCGCAGTCGGTTAAGCGTCCGACTTCAGCCAGGTCACGATCTCGCGGTCCGTGAGTTTGAGCCCCGCGTCAGGCTCTGGGCTGATGGCTCAGAGCCTGGAGCCTGTTTCCGGTTCTGTGTCTCCCTCTCTCTCTACCCCTTCCCCGTTCATGCTCTGTCTCTCTCTGTCCCAAAAAAAATAAATAAACGTTGAAAAAAAAAATTTAAACAGACCGATTATCAGCAATGAAATTGAGTCAGCAATCAAAACCCTCCCAGAACAACAAAAGCCCAGGACCAGATGGCTTCACAGGTGAATCTACCAAACATTAAAAGAAGAGTTAATATCTATTCTTCTCAAACTATTTCAAAAAATAGAAGAGGGAGGAAGATTTCCAAATTCACTCTATGAGGCCAGCATTCCCCTGATACCAAAACCAGATAAAGACATTACATAAAGAGAACTATCAGCCAATATCTCTGATGAACAGAGATGTGCAAAACTTAACAAAATATTAGAAAACTCAACCCAACAATACATTAAATACATCATTCACCGCAATCAAGTGGAATTTAATCCTGAAATGCAGGAGTGGTTCAATATTCACAAATCAATGAACATGACACTTCACATAAATAAGAGAAAGGATACAAACCACACAATCCTTTCAATAGATGCAGAAAAAGCACCTGATAAAGTAGAACCTCCATTCATGGCTGAAAAAACAAAAAACAAAAAACCTCCACAAAGTAGGGTTACAGGAAACCTACTTCAACATAATAAAGGCCATATATGAAAACATCACAGCTAACATCATCCTCAATGCTGAGACTCTGACAGCTTTCCCCCTAGAGTCAGGAACAAGAGAAAAATGGTCACTGTTCCCACTTTTATTGAATGTAGTACTGAAAGTCCTAGCCACAGCAATCAGACAAGAAAAAAACTTTAAGGCATCCAGACTGGTAAAGAAGAAGTAAAATTTTCTTTTTTTTTTTTTTAATTTTTTTTAAACGTTTATTTATTTTTGAGACAGAGAGAGACAAAGCATGAACAGGGGAGGGTCAGAGAGAGGGAGACACAGAATCTGAAACAGGCTCCAGGCTCTGAGCTGTCAGCACAGAGCCCGACGCGAGGCTTGAACTCACAGACCGCGAGATCATGACCTGAGCCAAAGTCGGCCGCTTAACTGACTGAGCCACCCAGGCACCCCAGTAAAATTTTCAATATTTGCAGATAATATGATACTATAGATAGAAAACACTAAAGGGGCACCTGGATGGCTCAGTTGGTAGAGCGTGCAACTCTTGACCTCAAGATCATGAGTTCAAGCCCCATGTTGGGTGTGGAGCTTACTTAAAGATTAAAAAAAACAAAAAAACAAAAAAACAAAAACAGGGATGCTAGGGTAGCTCAGACAGTTCAGCGTCTGATTCTTGGTTTCGGGTCAGGTCATGATCTCACAGTTGGTGAGTTCATGCCCTGCATCAGGCTCTGTGTCAAGCCTGCTTAGGATTTTGTCTCCCTCTCTCTGCCCCTCCCTTGCTTGCTGTCTACCTCTCTCGCTCAAAAATAAATAAATAAGCATTTGAAAAACAAAAATCCAAAAAAAAAAAAAAAAGAAAACCTTAAAGACTTCACCAAAAAATTACTAGAACTGATAAATGATTTCAGTAAAGTTGCAGGATACAAAACCAATGTACAGAAATCTGTTGCATTTCTATACACTAATAATGAAGCAACAGAAAGAGAAATTGAGAAAACAATCCCATTTACAACTGCATCAAAAATAACAAGATACCGAGGAATAAACTTAGCCAAAGAGGTGAAAGACCGGTCATCTACAAACTATACAACATTTATGGAAGAAATTGAAGATGACACAAACAAATGAAAAGACATTTCACACTCACTGATTGGAAGAACAAACATTGTTAATATGTCCGTCCTATCCAAAGCAATCTACAGATTTAATGCAATCTCTATCAAAATACCAACAGCATTTTTCACAGAACTAGAACAAACAATCCTAAAGTTTGTATGGAACCACAAGAAAATGAGAAACAAAGCTGGGGGTATCACAATTCCAGACTTCAAGTTATATTACAAAACTGTAGAAATCAAAACAGTATGGTACTGGCACAAACACAAACACATAGAGTAATAGAACAGAACAAAGCCCAGACATAAACCCATGATTATACAGTCAACTAGTCTTCAACAAAAGAGGCAAGAATATGCAATGGGGAAAAAAATCTCTTCAACAAATGGTGATGGGAAAACTGGACAGTTACAAAAGAATGAAACTAGACACTTTCTAATGCCATACATGAAAATAAACTCAAAATGGATTAAGGACTTAAATGTGAGACCTGAAACCATAAAAATCCCAGAAGAGGACACAGGCAGGAACTTCTCTGACATCAGCCCTAACAACAGCTTTCTGGAAAAGTCTCAGAGGCGAGGGAAACACAAGTAAAAATAAACTATTGCGACTTCATGAAAAGAAAAAGCTTCTGCACAGCGAAGAAAACAATCAACAAAACTAAAAGACATCCCACTGAAAGGAAGACGATATTTGCAAATGACATATCTGATAAAGGGTTAGTGTCCAAAATATATAAAGAACTTTTACAATCAACACTTAAATAATCCAAATTAAAAATGGGCAGGTGCCTGGGTGGCTCAGTCGGTTAAGATTAAATACCCGACTCAATTTCGGCTCAGGTCATGATCTTGCAGTTTATGGGGTAGAGCCCCATGTTGGGCTCTGTACCGTCAGCATGAAACCTACTTGGGATTCTCTCTCTCCCTCCTCCAATCACACATGCACATTCTCTCTCTCGTTCTCTCTCTCAAAAATAAATAAAACCTCAAAAAAATTGGCCAGAAGACATAAACAGACATTTCTCCACAAAAGACACACAGATGGCTAAAGACATATGAAAAGATGCTCAACATCACTTATCATCAGAGAAATGCAAATCAAACCACAATGAGATATCACCTCCTATCTACCAGAATGGCTAAAATTCAAAACACGAGAAACAAGTGTTGGCGAGGACGTGGAGAAAAAGGAACCCTCACGTACTGCTGGTGGGAATGCAAATTGGTGCAGCCACTGTGGAAAGCAGTGTGGGGGTTCCTCAAGAAGTTCAAACCAGAATTACCCTATGATCCAGTAATCTCACTACTCGGTATTTACCCAAAGAATATGAGAGCACTCATTTGAAAAGATATGTGCTCCCCTATGTTTATTGTAGCACTATTTACAATAGCCAATTGATGGACCAACCCAAGTGTCCATTGACAGATGAGTGGATAAAGAGGATGTAGTGTGTGTGTGTGTGTGTGTGTGTGTGTGTGTGCGTGTGTGTACATACACATATACACAATGGAATATTGCTCAGCCATAAAAAAGAATGAAATCTTGCCGTTTGCAACAACATGGATGATCTAGAGAGTATAATGCTAAGTGAAATAAATCTGAGAAAGACAAATACCATATGATTTCACTCATATGTGATACTTAAGGAACAAAGAAAAAAGAAACCAATGAAAGAAAAGACCCTTAACTATAGAGAACACACTGATGGTCACCAGAGGGAAGGGGGTGGGGGGATGG